CATACTCACAAATTGTCGGTAAAACAGCGGATTTTTAGAGTTTGATCTAGGGTTTAGCATCCTCTTAAAGAATATTTACTCAATATATGAAAAATTATTCTTTAAATCTTCAGATGCAACGTCATTATCCGATTTTCCTCTACAATTTGAACGAATATCAATTTTGAGAGGTAATTTGAAAATGAACATTAATATTACAATAAAAACCAAATATTATATTTAAATGTTTTTTCGAACATTTTATTATACTTTCTATATCAAATTGAACACAAATTAGAAAAAAAAAAAATCATGTAGTCCCAATATTTTAAGTACGACGAACATAAATGAACTTTTTAACATTGATATTATAATAAAAACAAAACATTATATTTATCTATTGTGTTTTAAATATTAAATTGCACTTTTCAGACAAAATTAAACAAAAATTAGTAAGAGAACCTCTGGCTTCGAGATATTTAACTCTTTGATCTTTTTAAAGTTTTCTAAAACGCTACTAAACAGCGGGATGCCCAATAGAAGTTCTAGAAACTTTATTTTCTCCATTTGTTTTTGTTTAGATTGTACTTTTCTGTATGGAACATAAAATAGTTGTGTGTGTAGCTCCTAAAATCAAAATCATACCATCAATGACAGCTGTAACGGCTTATTCCATGCTCTATTTGCTCCAATTCAATCGAGCATTCTTTTTTTTTTTATAATGCTTAATATATCTGATATAATAAAATGTATCCAAAAATCTTTTATTTTTCTGAAATTCTTGCAAATACTTATACTATTATCCAAATTTTCCCACTGTTCAAATTACCCCGCTGTACCCCGATAACAAGATTGCGATCAAGGATTCATTTATTTCTTTTTTTACATTGCGAAAGAATTCTACGCTGAGATACAAGCAAATAATAGATCCCTACAACATTTAGATCCCACGTATGACAGTAAGATGTGTGAGGTCGCTGACCTTCCTGTCGATTTCGGTCAAATTGTTGCCACCGAAATCGAGATATCGTAATTTGACGAAATCAGCGAAAGCGCCATTATCCACCGTCTGGATGTTATTGTCGGACAGTTTGATCTCTTCCAGATTGGAGAGTCCGGTAAAAGTACCGACTACAATGTGAGACAGTTTGTTTCCGTCTAGTCGCAATAGTTCCAGCTGAGACAGCTCCCGGAACGTTTCCGGCTCGAGAGCGCTGATCTCGTTCTGCTGAAGATAAAGTCTCCTCAGACCGACCAAGTCACGGAGTAGCGTCCTGGAGATGCTCGTTATCCGATTGTCATTTAAGTAGAGATCCTCCAGCTTGTTCAATCCTCGAAAGGCATCGTTTGGCAAGTCCACCAGCCGATTGTGGTCCAAGTGGAGGCGATTCAATTCGGTTAACCCGGCGAAGGAATTCGGCGCGACACGGGTAATTTTATTGTTGTTGAGCCACAGATAGAGCAGTTCGGGATTCAAATTCGAGAAGGATTCCACCTCGATCGCTTCAATGTCGTTGTGACCCAGGTAGAGCCACATCAGACTTGACAGACCGGCGAACGAGTCCTTCGGTATTGAATCGATCTTGTTGAAGACCAACGATAGCGATTGCAGGTGTTCCAATTCCGCGAACAAGTGCTCCGACAACGGTACCACATTGTCATCCAAGTGAAGACGCTCTAAGTTGGGCAAACCGCGGAAGGATCCTCTCTTCAGCACGGATATCCGGTTGCCTTGATTCAAGTATAAGTGCGTCGCCGTTACGTTCTTAAAGGCATCCTGTTGAATCGCTAGGAGATCCAGATCGCTGATATCCAATCGGTCTTCAAAACGGCGTTGCGTAACTTCGACGAGCACCCCCTTATAGTGGCAGACGATGTAGCCATCGGTGTTTCGGCAGGTCGGCTCTTTCACTTCCGACGAGGCCCTCGCCGAAAGAAATAGAACGACTTGTGCGAAGAAAAGCATGAAAAATCGCGACATTACGAGAGATTGACTGACCGATACGTTTAACCGAAATATATGGATGCAACCGCTTTATAACGAGAGCACGCGTTAGATAGCGTGTGACTTTTGGCACTGATTATCGTTGTTGCTGAGAAATTATCGCAATATGCATTCTCGGAAGGGGAATTAGTTACCGAGTACAAAATGTCAAAGTTGAAGATAGGAAAAGCATAGCTTTTATTCACGAACGACGTGGAGATAAATTCCTCATATTAGTAAATGCTGGCTTTGCGTTTTCCTCAAGCGCCGTATTTAAAAAAAATATTTCGAGAACGTCGCAACGTCTAAATTAACTGCATTAATTAAAACGCGTGATTGAATATCTTGCATTAAGCGCGACCCTTATAATAATCGCGGGCTCGTTTTAGCAAACCGCATGCATTGCCGATGGCAGGTTGTTCGCCACTGATTATCTGTAACGAGCAGTAGAAAGTACGTAATAGTCCAGTGAACACCCGGGACAGTGAGGCGATCGCGGAAAGTGGAGTGAAACGGTAGAAAAATAACGGCGTTGTATAAGAATGCGAGCATCCCGAGATGGATAATCCGTTTTTTCTATCCGTTTACCTCCGAGATAATTATACTTTTCAACAATCCGATATTTATTTATCTATCATCGCGACACACGTGCAATCACGTTATTAAATATTTTTCGACGTAAATAAACTCAGCACGCATGTCCAAAATCGGAACATAACGTCTCACGTCTGTTTCTATCAGTGGCTGCGTTTCATTTAGCGCTCTTGGAATCATTTCATCCTTATTGTTTATCAAACGTTGAAGAAGCATAAACAACGCTCGCGAGCGTTGCAAACGCCAAGTGAAACGCACCCAATGTAGATTAAGTTTAATCTCGGATATATCTTGGTAAATTAACTTACTCTTTATCTTTTTCTAATTCTTTCTAGAAAAAAAGTAAAGTAAGATTAAAATCGAGAAATAGACATTAAAGATGTTATTAATATCCTTTAGACATCGTATATGTGCAATGACATCTCTTTAAGACGTTTTATATTCTGTTTTTTGGACGTGTGCTGTTTGAATTTTTTCTTAAACGGTGTTTATTTCCGCAGTCTGCTTCTGTCATCAAAATTTATACGTTAATTCCAAGACTCGCGGATCTCGAAGGACTCATGGAGATCTTCGCGCGCAACGATCTCCGTCAACCTCGGCGCAACTTTCCGCGACGAATAATCGCAATTCTGACGAATCGCAATTCGCACGAATGACATCGAATGAAATGTATTTGGACCATGTTCCCGATTATGTTCGAGAGATGAGACAAATCATGTATCACCGCGGCGAGTGATTTTCAAGGCTAGCACGCGTCTCGTACGCGAGCGGTGCTGAGAAACTTTCTAAGGTATTGGTGAAAACATCAGAAGAGCGATTCGCCTCTCGCTCGCGAGGTCATCGAACGATGTTACATCCCACTCGCTCGCTCGCTTACTCGTTTTTGCTTGCTCGCTCGGTTTCTCGATTCCGAGTACTCCGCGGTCGTACGGTCGGTCGATCGGTCGGTCGGTTGGCGGTTAATGACAAGTCGAACCGAGCAATGTCCGTAATAATGAAGAACGCATAATTTTAAGCTGAACGACAAAACAAGTGTCGTCGCTTGGCAGAATCTCGGCTCACCTTTGTGTCTACCATTTTTCTCAAGAGCCAGCCTCGGTTGACGGCTTATTGTTTCTCGAAGGAGACGATAATAAACCAGTCTACCACTGCGTGAAAAAAAAAAAGAAAATGCACGAGCATATAATTGCGATTAAGCTACTCGCCTCGTAATCGCGCGCATCGATTAGAAAAGCCCACAATTGTAATTATTGAAACAATTTCCATCTCGTGATCGCTTTGTTAGAGCCTTTTCTCTCTGTCTCTCTCTCTCTCTCTCTCTCTCTCTCTCTCTCTGATAATTGTCGATTGGGCTTTTACGAGATTTGTCATGTATTTCCTTGATTCGGACGGTACCGTATACAACGTTAGCGCTATACAATGACCGCGTTACAATGCTCAACGTCTATATGCAAGCCGGTGAATGTCACCTATAATGGCCACATATGCCTCGCCGCGGTAAGTACTCGCGCAAGTAATTGACATTTTGTCTAGTTGTACTCTTAATTGACTTTTGATACACGAAGAATCGTGTTTAACAAGATGTAGTGGAAACGCTAGGTTCTCTACTTTACATAAGAGCTGCCTTGTTTTTACAGAATCCGAACGATCAAGTTTGAAACGGAGAAACATCTTCTTGAATTTCTCCCCGCCGGAAAATTTAGATGGTTGACAATTTCTTCTCGCGATTCCTCTTTTCGCGTAATTGCGACTCTGTAATCGGACCTGCGTGATCAAACGCAGATTTTTTTTTAACTTATTACGGATCAATGATCGTATCACTTGTACACTTTGGCAGGATATGTATATGTACACGCTTTCCTCGCAGTATAATGCAAAAATGATCCACATGACGATTGACGCTGCGATCTTGACATTCTTGACAGGCGTGGTAAGAAAGTTACCGCCGTCGTGGTACCGTTCTTATGAAACCGATGGAGGTCGGCCGTGCTCGCGCTCGCGCTCGCGCTCCTCCGTGTAACCTTTTACATTTTGCGCAAGCGATATTTCTCTGCGCGGACAATAAAGAAATGTATATGCAGCTCGTACGGAGATGCCATCCACACAGTGCAAACTGAAACGGAAAGCTGAAAAATAAGGAGCGAGCGTGGGAGAAGCGAGATTTTGGGAACAAGGCAGGGAGGTAAGAAAGAGCGCGGATAGGCACTAGGTCGTTTCACCTGTGTACCAGCGCTCTTACAAATCCCACGTTACGGAATGGAGAACGCACGGAAGAGCTTCCAACGTTTTCAGGCCGATGGACTATTCTGCAGTTTTTCTAATGTTATCCTCTCAAATACGTCGAGTGCTTTTTCTCTTATCACGACGAAGTGCTTTTAATTTTTCATTAAATTAAAATAAAAATCTCGTTGAAGGTATCCAGGTAGCTTGTTGCACGTTAAGTAACATCGTGTTTTAAGATCAACTAGATCTTGCGTCAACCTGAGTAGACTTGAAGAAAATCGAGATCGATTAGGTGTAACTGTAGCGTTCAGATCAGTGAACGCAGATCGAGGAGTGCGATGGTCGGTGAGCGTGCGGATTCCGAAAGAAAAAGAAAAATTTCGAAAAGCTCAGTCTCGACTCACCAGAATTACTGTGAGTGTGTCCGGTAACGTTGCCGGTGGCCGAATGAACCGCGTTCGTAGCGGCGTTCGCGACCTGTTTTAAAGCGCTTATCACTAGCATAGCTCCCGTTGGTTAACGGCCGGTCGCGAGCGGCGTCAGCATCTGGCGCACGGTAATATGGAATACGGACGCAGCACGCCGGCGGCACACGGCGCGGCGGGCTTTTGACACGAGCACGGCGTGTCTATGACTCCAGCACACAAGATTTGGCGCGAGTAACGACCTCGGTAAGGCGTGGAAGCGGCCGTGGAAGCGGCTCGACGCGGACTGCTGGGCTCGGCACGGAGAACGTCTAAGCGCGCGCGAGACTGGTCGCTCGCGCCGAGCAGCAATGCGAAAGGGAGCCGGAGTCGTGCTCGTGGTCGTGGTCGTCGTCATCGTTATCGTCGTCTCGCTTGGTCCCCTTCCTCGGAGTTTCACCTTCACGGAAGTCTTCCCTCCACCGCCGATTAATGTCACCGACCGACGTAGACGAAGACGATTCTTCGACACGCATTGTGACGCGCGATGCGTTACGTGGACATTGTTCCTGTCCGTACCAGCCCGGAAGCTAACACGCGTAATACGCAGCTCTCTGATACATTTGGGGATTAATTACGCGGGAAGCGCTGAAATATGGCAAAAAATTCTCGAATTTTCCAACATGAAAATAGGGTACAGCGGGGTAATTTGAACAATGGGGAATTTGGATAATAGTATTTGCAAGAATTTTAGAAAAATAAGAGATTTTAAAATATATTTCATTATATCAGACATTAAGCATATTATACAAAAAGAATACTCGATTGAATTGGAGCAAAAAGAGCATGGAACAAGCCGTTACAGCTGTCACTGATGGTGTGATCTCGGTTTTAGGAGCTGCACAACTATTTCATGTTCCATACAGAAAAGTACAATCTAAACAAAAACAAATATGAAAGGCGAAAACAATGTTCAATAGTAGAACTTCTATTGAACATCCTACTGTTTAGTAGCGTTTTAGAAAACTTTAGAAAGAGTTAGATATCTCAAAGCCAAAGGTTCTCTTACTAATTTCTGTTTCATTTTGTCTGAAAAATGCAATTTAATATTTAAAACACAATAGATAAATATAATGTTTTGCTTTTATTAATATTTGCATTTATTAATATCAATGTTAAAAAGTTCATTTATGTTCGTCGTACTTAAAATATTGGGACTAACATGATTTTTTTTTTCTAATTTGTGTTCAATTTGATCTAGAAAGTATAATAAAATGTTCAAAAAAAACATTTAAATATAAGATTTGGTTTTTATTGTAATATTAATGTTCATTTTCAAATTACCTCTCAAAATTGATATTTGTTAAAATTGTAGGGGAAAATCGGATAATGACGTTGCATCTCAAGATTTAAAGAATAATTTTTCATATATTGAGTAAATATTCTTTAAACATGTGAATTTTTTGCTACATATTCAATTTAAGGATAAAATTATTACTTTTCGAGAAATTGTTCAAAAAGTTTAAAATTATTCAAATTATCTCGCTGTAACCTATCAGGAAACAAAATAGGAAAATGAGAATTGTATAGTGAGAAATAACGTGTTTTTGGATTGAAAATAAAAATTATTTATCTCTTCTTTGCAGCAGCCCGACGAAGAAAAGAATCGTCGGATTGTTTTCAAATATAAAATAATCGACTGTTGGCCGTGTTGCGCTTTTCGATCGTATATAGTCACGCGGGCAAGAGGAATTGAAATGACAATTTTCGCAACAGCGACCATTTCCGCGCGCTACGTCGAACTGACGAATATCAATATCGGCTCGCGTCAATTCCCTCTCAAGCGACCGAAGTAGACGCCGTGTAGAAGTTACAGAACCCGGAGAAAATGGC